CGCCCCCGCCGCGCCAGGCCCCGCTCGGCTGTCAGTCAGGCGGCGGCGCGCCCCGATTGGGCCGGCGGCCGCCGGGGAGCGGGGGCAGCATGTTGGGATGCGCGCTACTTAAGGTCCCGCTGCGTGAGCCATTGACGTGTTTGGAGCTGGAGACGGCCTGGGCGCTGGTGAAGCGGCAGCCCGAGGTGAGTAGTTCCCCGCCCTTGCCTCTGCGGCGGCTGCCGGGCTGCGGGAAGAGACTGGCGCGCCTGGGCCGCCGCGGGGCTCGCATCCGCTTCTCCGGCGTGACGCCGCTTCCACCGGGCCTCGCCTGGGCGCGGGCCCCTTGCCGTCACATCCTACCCGCAACACGAGTCTCCTCGGGCCGGGGACGAGGAAGTTGCCCCCTGCCTGGGCACCCCCGGCCCTTCCTTCACCCTTCTTCCCAGCCTTTGGAGCCTAAATGCCTAGCCCTGCCCCCAGTTCCCTGCGTTTTTCCTCTCCCCCTGCTCTTCTGGGCGCCGTCGAAGGTGAAGGTCGGGGCAAGGTGGGTTCACCTGCGCCCGCCGTCGGGGGGCCGGGCAGCTCGTTGGAGGTAGCGGGGCCTGGGGCTCGCCTGGCTCCAGAGTCTCCGCTCGCCTTCCCCGCCCCCTCCGCAGGGCCACCGCTACTTCCTGACCCTGCCTGCCTGCACCCAGCCGTGGGTTAAAGGCTTGAGGGCCTCGCAGGACGTGTTTCAGCTTCCCGACGGTTGCCCTGCGGTGTGGGAGGGCCGCAACCCCTGCCTGGGCAAGGACCAGCACGGGAGGGGTGGGCTGGACGGGTCAGCAGCGTTCGCGTGCCCCTTCCCTTGCAGAGCTGCTCGGAGTGGCGACCCGAACCACTGGGTGGGAAATCAAGAAATAGTTTTTAAAGCAGTTTGCCCTTTGGAAAAGATTTTAGAGCTATTCCTCAAACGTGCTGTGCTTTTGCGGCCCCTCTCTCAAATCGTTGGTTTCTTTCTGACTGTCCCCTGCAAGTAGAGCTTCGTCACGTTTGTTTGGTACCTTCAGAAACTAAGTAGATAAGGCCTCGCTGGCGGAACACTCGATCTTCAGCCCCGCTCCTCACTGTAAACTGACATTTCCTCTTCATTTCCAGTTGATACATGAGGATTCATGCAAAGAAGGTGACAGTCGGAAATCCAAACTTAGATTGACTTGTATTTAGAATCCGGAAGGGAGAGGAAATGAAAGGTGGATAAACTCCTACAACAGACCTGACTCGGTACATGTGATGTGACCTCGGTGTTGTTTGTAAAGAATTCCTGACCCATGACAACGATAAAATGCGAAGCAGAACACTTTCACAGGAGGCAGGCAACCTGAGTTCTTGTCTGCGTCTGATCGTTGTTGAGATTATATCCAAGGCATATGAACAGCTAAGCAGAGTCCTTTGCTCTCACAGCATAGGACAGATGTAGAAAGGAAGGCTGTGAATTTTCTTAGTGCCCTCACCTCTCATAAGAAGAAGTGAAGCCTGCAAAAGAATTGTATTCAGGAGAGGAAGACGCTTCTACATATAGTTGAACAGCATCTTGAATTTCCTTTTTGCTAAGATGTTTCTGCTAGCCAGGTATACTCATGTATTGGTCAGTGAAGATCATAAAATAGACGGATTACTTAGTGGGTACTGAAAAGACCCCCGAACGATTAGACTTTTTTCCATCCTTCTTTGCAAAGGTTGTCTCCTTTAGCCTGGACATCGTGATCTTTCTCTTAATAGAGGAACGGAACTAGTTGACTCAAGATTCAGAATACCTTCACTTTTCAGGAGCTGGTGGGGTTTGGTTGTTTTTCCTGAATGTACTTTATTTCTTTTAACATGACTGATATGTTTTGATGGTCCCATCTTGGGCAAGAAAAGTAGAAACCATTTTGTACAAAAATTCTGAGCTCTGTCTGGTTATACTGATGCAGTTTTTATTCAGTGGTGTTTTTGGTAGGTCATACTGCATTATTTGCTGGCTTCTCCTTTGATCTCTAGGTAACAGACAGTTAAGCTAGAACACCATTCAGGAGTAAGTTCCTTAAACTTAGTGCAGAGCATTTAAAAATATTTGTGGGTGGCTTAATCGATAGTATGCCAATACGTTGAAATAAACAAAAAATTACCTTTTAGTAATTAACAGTTGATTATTAGTTTTTTTTAGTTTTCCCTTTTAGGTCATTTCTATGACATGTCTTAGAAGATAATAGTATACCAATTTCAATTAACTTCATTATAGAGAGTAGTTGTCCTGGGATAGAGTCGACATACTAACTTGTTATATGAGTATATGACTTGACTTGGAATCACTAATTGGCCCTTAGAGAACTGTGGTCATCTTTAATGGATAAAGGCTTCTTCAGAGCTGTATCTGTATCAGGCTTTAGTTGGAAGATGAATACTCCACAGTAGCATTCCCTGACTTCCTTCAACCCTGGGAAGTATCAGCTAAATAGAAGATGCCCCTGGAAGTTAAGTTTCAGATTTTCTTTTTTTAACTTTTCAGAATGTCAACTAAGTTAACAACTTTGTTTTGGTTTTGGTATATCGGCCACCCCAGGGCCGGCCATGGAGTAGACATTCACGTACTTTAGTTAACAAATGTTTTTGCTAAAGTTGGGTTGTACTAAAGTATTCCACCCTTATTTTGTGTGCTAATCCATGTATAATAAGGAAGTAACAGAGTGCACGCGTTATTCTTAGGTTTCGTGAATACATTTAATTGCTTAACCTTTAGAAATAGGAGTAAACTAAAACCAAATTTTAGCTGAACTATCTTTCTTTCTGGACATGGTAATCAAATTTCAGTAGATGCACTTTAGGAATTTAAATAAGGCCTTTGTGCTGAGGCACACGTCAGTGCAAAGGAGAATCACATCCAAGTCTTTACTCTGAAAATACAGAGGTTATATGAGTTCCTCACTGGATAATCATTATGGCAGAATTAACTTTTCAAGTACTTGTGGAGCTGATGAGATTTACTGGCTTATATTGTCATCCACTGTGTAACTCTTCCCCAATATCTGCCTGCAGGAAGAAGACAGGTAGGATGTCCGTGGTAGCTGGAAGGCTGAGAGATCCTGACATAAATCCTTGCTTGTTGGTAAGCCAGATCGCTTTTAATTGTCGCGAGTATTAAGTTGGAAAAACAGGCTTCTTCTGATTTTGTGGGCGTCAGTTTTCTGCAGTTCTTAAATAAAGTTATTTCTGTACGAGAAATATTCCTGGCCTGTGTATCCTTATTTCACTAGAGCATTTTTAGATATTCATAATCTAGCTAACAAGGATTCATCTCTTTTAAGGTTCCCTAATTTGTATAACATCACTGTTATACTAGAAAAGCACGTGTAACATTGAGGAAATTCTTGAGTCCAAACATGCAAGGATGGAAAGTAGGTATTTTTAAATGGTCACTGAAATTTATGTTTTGATAGCAATGATTTCATCATGTCCCTGAGGCAGCCTGGCTGAGGATAAGGGCTGATAACTGAATTAGACTATTTAAAGCCTGAAGGTTTTCACAAAGGTATCACGTAAACAAAACATTTTGTTGTAATGGTAAGGTTTTATTGGCATTTATTTGGTAAGATTAGCGGTTCTTACTTGTGGCATTGTCACCCTTGAATAATGCAGTCATCGGACTGGTGCTATGAAAATTATATTCCCGATCCTATATGCATTTTCCAAATATACACATTCATTAAATATTTAGCTTTGAAAATTAGCTTTGCTACACATATGAAATCTGTTTAACAGCTTTACTAAGTCTCTTTAGCTAGACCATGTTTCTTAGATCTGTGAAGCAAGTTACCTTCCCCTTTATTTAAAGCTTTCCTTTAGCTGGAGTCTCGGAATCATGCCTTTCACTTTGAAGTTTGTTTTCCAATCTACTTCCAGTTCAGACAGCTGAAATTTAACTCCCAAATGGCAGCTACCCTCCTTTGAACTCTTAGCCCTGTGTTGCTCCTTGTGGTTTTAAAGTGATATTAATGATAACCTATTAAAATTGCTTGCATAATTGTGTATTTACTTGCGTAATGGAGCAAATGATAGCCGAACATACGTTGAGATGAATGTCGTTAAGTTACCTTGATGCAGACCAGTCATTAGCAACTTAGGTTCTCGAAACCACCTTAACTCAAACATTCAAGTCCAGGTGAGAACTTGGAGGGGCGGAGAGCTGCCCTCCCAGTTGGGAGACTGAGTTTTGCTTCCACGTACAGCAGTGATTCCCTCCCCGCTCCAGCCCGCCTCGCATGGCTTGTGGGATCTTAGTTTCGAGACCAGGGCTTGAACCCAGGCCCCGGCAGCGGAAGCACCGAGTCCTAACCACTGGGCCGCCAGGGGACTCCTTGCACCGTGATCTTGAGCACGTCGCACCTTGCCTCGGCCTCTTCATTGAACGGTTACTGGGTTAAGTGATCTCAGTCAGTGCTTCGACTCAAATTCCTGTGATCAGGTGTTCAGAAAACTGACGCCACTGTGAAAAGGAAGATGTCTGCTTTGAGCAGAACTAATGCTGGGATAGTTGGAAAGATAATTCTGTTCCTGTTCATTATCTGTTCGTTCAGATGAACAAAAGAACTATTTCACATTACCTGCCCTGGGGGGGAAGCAGCTTCAGAAGTTCGTTTTGTTGCAGCTGCCGTTCCACCTCTTGAGTGATGCCTCTCTTACATATTTAAGGAATCTGATGCTTCCACCAGATGTATGGATGAAAATAACTATGACAGAGAAAGGTGTTCCACTCACTTCTTGAAGTACAAAAACTGCCGGAAGTTCTGGGTAAGCCCAGTTTGGTTACCTTTATGTTAAAACTCATCTGTTCTGCTTGAAACTGAAGCCTGAAGTTTGTCAGCACCCAAAGTCCTTTTTTAGCGATGGCTGTCGGAAACTTACCCCTAAAGGATCCTTGGGCGCTCTCGTTAGCTGCCTCACCCTCCGCCCACGTGTAAGGACGCAGCTCTGATAGAGGTGGGTCTTCCTAGTTGCATAAGTGCCTGGGGCCCTAAAGTGATAGCCTTGTTACAACTGGAGTTTTCTGGAGGTGAGCAGAATAGGTGGCTCGCCCCGTCACAACACGCATCAGGCTTCCTTTTCTCTTCCTCCTCTCCCGCCATCACCCATGGTCCCATTTTTGGCAGACGTTGCCGTGTAATTTCTGTTTCTCTGAGCACTGGATCCAGCTACTTCCTGTCCCTCTGCTAGCTTACCTGTTGGTTTCATTGGGCAGTTACTCCGTAGCTCCTCTCGATGGGCCTGAAGTTACAAAGTGTGTCCCCACCCCAGTTACAGTTAACATATTCCTGTAGGAATAATCACTTCTGTTTAATTGATAATCATCTGAAAACAGTATCTGGAGTCCTAGAATTCATTCTTTGTTTTTTTTTTTAAACTCGGTTTTTTTTGGTTTGTTTTTGTTTTTGTTTTTGTTTTTGCAGTACACGGGCCTCTCACTGCTGTAGCCTCTCCCGTTGCGGAGCACAGGCTCCGGACGCGCAGGACTCAGTTTTTTATGTTTCCTTTCTGAAGACCACAATAGCAGATTACTGGCAATTGATTAGCATTTAGTACTTGACTGATCTTGGTTTCTTCTTTTTCGCACATACACACAGAATTCTATCATGATCCAGAGAAGACGGGATGGAGTGAAGCCATCTATGCCTACAGCAGCAGAGAGAGACATAATCTTGGGAGCAATGGGCAAGATGCCCTATTGAATGTTTGCATTAAAGTGGTTTATTTAACTCAGAAGCAGATGAATATGTTTAATAAGTGGTTACGGTAACTTCTTAAGACCTTCCAGGCCTTACCCAGACAGATCTCTGATTCCACCAGGGGAAGCCCTGTGTCCTCTGTGTTTGCTCTCAGTGCCATAACGAGAGCAGGCCGCTCTGGCTGTGCCGTGTCACCGAGTTTACAAGACTTCCTGAAGGCAGGGGAGCGTCAGGAAAGTCCATGAAGAGTCGAGCTTTTCCACTGAGTTTCGAAAGAGAAGTAAGTCGGGAACGAGGAAGGACCTAATGGGGGCGAAAGGGAAGCAGTGCTTGTGATGTGAGTGACGACATGATGGAGGGAAAGCTGGAGCCACATCTGGAGAGCAGTGTGTAGACAGTTCCCCCTGGAGGGTGAGGTGGGGGACTGAGTGGTGGGGAGAAGACGGGAAGGTAAGTCCAGGGTGGCTGCGTGGTGGGCATCTAATCCCAGTGCGTTAGATCCCTGCCCTGACTTCACTCACGTACCTCGGTTTAAAAAGGTTGGGGAGCAGGGGAAAGGCAAGGTTGGCTGAAGTGGCATGAAGAACTGGCTGTCTTCATTTTCTTTCTTTAAGGAAAGGCTTAGTCAAAGGATTCTATAACTCAAATCTATGAATAGCGGGCAACCTTGGGAAGGCATAGTATCCTTGAATCACAGTAATGGAAAGAAAAGGTGATACTTTCAGAAGTAGGATCTCTGCTTGCAGGATGAGGTGGACCAGGAGGGTTTAGGGCTTATCCGGTGATTGGAGCACCAGGTGAGGCCGGAGCTCAGCTTCATTTAATGATAGGAAAGCAGGAACGTTCAGCATAGTGACCGGGTGGATTGTGGAGCAGCTCTCAGACTCACCGCCTTTTAAAATCCAGTTTGTTTCGTTTATAGAATTGTAAAAGTTACATTATTTGATAAAATTTAATGTACTTATAAAGTCAGTGAAAACAAATAGTTTGTGTCCCTTTTTTTCATCTGGTCCTGGTGCAAGAGTAGTGTTTTAACGGATGCTGACAACAGACTATCCTCGTTGGTCTGAATCCAAATCCCAGGTCAGATGTTTTTAAACCATATGATCTTGATTTCCAAATGTGATTCTATTTGAATAAAAGATGGATTCTTTCAGAAATTCTTTGATTTGTACTGATTGCTCTAAAATGATGGATTAAAATAGGAGCTGACAAGAAACTAATGCATACTGTGTAAGAAGCATTTCAGTACTTTTAAGCTTGTTCAAGGGTTTGGAATTTTAATGTCACCCTTTTAAAGGTACATACTAACAGCAGCATTCATCCGGTAGCTATTTGTCCTGGCCTAGCTCTTTTTTTTTTTTTTTTTTTAACAGCAGGTTCATTGAGATGCAGTTTGTAAACCGTATAAGCCATGTATTTAACGTGTACAATGTGATGGTTTTTAGTGTACTGACAAAGTTGTGCAGCTGTCCCCACAATGGATTTTAGGAGGCATCACCCCAGAAAGCAAGCCTGTACCTGTTAGCACACAGTTCCTTTCCTCCTAACACCACCCTTCCTCCACTTCCCCAGCACGCAGGCAACTGCCAACATACCTTCTGTCTCTAGAATTGCCTATTCTGGACGTTTCCAGAAATGGAATCATACAACATGTGGTCTTTGGTGGCTGGCTTCTTTCACTTAGCCTCGTGTTTTCAAGGTTCATTCCCTTTCACTGCTGAGTAACCTTCGATGGTATGGATGTACCACATTTGATTTAGACACTCATCAGTTGATTGGTATTTGGGTTGTTTGCCCTATTGGCTATCTTATGAGTCATGTTGCTTCTTGAACTTCTGTGCACGAGGGTTTGCGTGGACGTTAATTTCTTTCTGGATGTATACCTAGCAGTTGAATTGCTGGGTCATATGGTAACTGCGTTTAGGCTTTTGAGGAACCAGCAAACTGTTTTCCAAAGTGGCAGCACCATTTTGCAATGTATCAGAGTTCCAGTTTCTCCACATCCTCATTAACCCTTATTATCTGCCTTTGATCACAGCCGTTCTAGTGGGCGTGAGCTGGTATCTCACGTGGTTTTGATTTGCATTTCCCTGATGCCTAATGAGGCCGAGCATCTTCACTTGTGTGTTGGCCACTTGTATATCTTCTTTGGAGAAATGTTCTTCCGGGTCCTTTGCTCATTTTTAAGTTAGGTTGTGTATCTTTATTACTGAGTTGTCAGAGTCCCTTACATACTACATACAAGTCCCTTGTAAGATACATGGTTTGTGAATTTTATCTCCCATTCTGTGTGGGTTGTATTTTCACCTCGTGGTGTCCTTTGAGACACAAAAGCTTTTAATTTTGATGAAGTCCAATTCATTTTTTGTTGTACCTTTCGGTGACATATCTAAGAAAAGATCCAAAGGTTTACATCTACGTTTTCTCTAAGAGTTTTATGGTTTTAGCTTTTATGTTTAGGTTTTTGATCCATTTTGAGTTAATTTTTGAATGTGGTGTGAGGTAGGGGTCCAACTTCGTTCTGTTGCACACGTGGCTGTCCTGCCTGTCGTCCCTGCCTCTTCTGTTGAAAAGCCTGTGGTTTCTTCTGAATTGTCTTGGCACCTTTGTGGCACAGCAGCTGATTGTGTTTGTGAAAGTGTTTCTGGACCTCATTTGTGTCCCACTGATCCCTGTGTTGATGTCTATGCCAGTCGTGCACTGTCCTGATCACTGTAGTTTTGTAGTGATGGCACAGCTCCTCGATGATTGGTATCTATAGGTGGGTTTTCTGTGAAGTGCTTTTGAAGACAGACTAACTGGGGATTTCTGATCAGCCAACTCTTAACATATGTGAGCATAATGTGGCTCTATCCAGGCTCTACCCAGGCAACACTGTTCAGTTCTAACTTTGTCTTCAGTAGTGTGCTAATTTCTTGTTTACACCTTTGCACACACCCTGCTGACTTCGGGACACTATTCTTGTAACCTGGTTGTTAGAGATCTTGTTACACCAATTGAAGGGACAGAGTCCCAGGGGTTTCCCTCATCATCACTGTTAAATTTGCCACTCTTTTAATTTCTCTTTCTACGATTCAACTTTGGGAGAGGTGAAGCTAATAAATTAATTGTGTCAGGACGTGAGTAGGTGCCTTGAGAAATTTGGGAGGCAGGCAGGCCTTTGGAAGCAACTGTCGACTAACAAGATGCATAGAAGGTATTTTACTGTGTTCCCGTGCATCTCACGCTGGTAGGGAGCGTCTCATCACAGGTTCCACGTGTGTGTGGTATGCAAGACCAGTCCTTTTGAGAACCACTGTATCTATCTGAAAGCTCCTGGAGGATGCAGCAGTGTCATTTGTGGTTCTGCCCAAAACTCCTGGCAAGCGTCTAGTACATAATAAAGGATCAACAGCTGTGTATGTGTTTGGGGAGGGAAGGCTTTTAAAATTAACACAATGAAAAATTTGCAGGTTCAGGGCTTCCCTGGGGGAGCAGTGGTTAGGAGTCCTCCTGTCAGTGCAGGGGACACAGGTTTGAGCCCTGGTCCGGGAAGATCCCACATGCTGCGGAGCAACTAAGCCCGTGTGCCACAACTACTGAGCCTGCGCTCTAGAGCCCGCGAGCCACAACTACTGAGCCCACGTGCCATAACTACTGAGCCTGTGTGCCACAACTACTGAGACTGTGCTCTAGAGCCGGCGAACCACAACTGCTGAGCCCGCATGCCACAACTACTGAGCCTGCACGCCTAGAGCCCGTTCTCTGCAACAAGAGAAGCCACCACAATGAGAGGCCTGCGCCCCGCAACCAAGAGTAGCCCCCGCTTGCCACAACTAGAGAAAGCCCGCGCGCAGCAACGAAGACCCAACGCAGCCAAAAATAAATAAATAAATAAATTGATTTAAAAAAAGAATAAAAAAAAACACGCAGGTTCAGACAATGCCAACGGGTTTACAATGTAAATAAACCTGCCCAGGAGCAGCCAACGTCAAGGGTTTTCACGGTTTTATATGTATGCACGAGCATATCTGTATATTTGTTTATTTGTTTTGCACAAAAGGCACATCATAGTACACGAGTGGAGGCCCTCTGCTTTTCTCACTTAGCGATATAGTTTGGAACAATTCCCCACGCGTGGTTACAGATTTACTCTAGTTCTTTGATTGTGCAGGTACACTGTCCTGGAACCAGTCTCCCACTGAGGGGTCCCCTCTTAGGAATGAGGTGACAGCTGCGGTTCTTTGCTTGTTCCGTTTTTATGTGTACGCTACGTGTGTAGGAGTGGAAGGTTTCAGTAGTTTGCATCGTGTAGATGTTGCTAAACCCCCTCCCACAGGAAGCACACTCCCACTCCCAGAAGCAAAGCCTGAGAGTTTTCGTTCCTTACGCCCTCAGTCCCACTGGGCACTTTAAAACATTCATCCTTGTAAGTTGATGAGTGAAAAATGGAATGGGTGTATTTATTTCCTTTGCTCGTTTTTTTTTTTAGATTGGTGTGAGCAATTTGGGGAACTCTTGGTATAGTAAGGGAATTACCTGTTTGTCAAATGTATCCTGTATATTTCTCCCAGTTTGTCTTTTAACTTTGTGTTTTCATTTCTGAGCAGTGTTTTACATTTTAAGGTAATTAAGTAGATCAGTCTTTTTGCCTGTGGTTTCTGGTGGTCAATAAACACTAAATGAATCCAAGTACAAGCACTGCACTTGCAATTCACTTCTGCTCAGCAAACATCCGCCAGGTGCCCGCAACGTGCAAAGTGCTGGGGTAACCGTGCGGGAGGAGCCAGGCACCGCCGGCCGCAGGGGACTTAAGGATGCTCCCGGGAGTGGCCAGAGCAGGCTTCCCAGAGGGTGAGTGGCCTCGACAGACATGAAGGGGCACGTCTATGGGGCATATCTGGGGCCCTGTCCTGTTCACTGACTAGAGCAGAGTAGGCGAAGGGGATGCGGCAGGGGCTCTGGACAGGTGGGCTGGGCTCACGTTGTGTGTCGCCCTGAATGCTGTTCCCGGGACTTAA